ATGTATAAATGGCATAAGGATAGATAATAAATTATCTTTTTTTATATACATATTTTCCCACTTCACTTTATTTTTTAGTACTATGTGTGTAGGAATAAATTAAATTTCTTAATTAGTAAATTTAATGAGTATATTTAATTTCTCAAAATAAGACAAAATTTCAATGTATTCTTCAGTTACAAAAATTCTAAAATCATTCTTACTATAAAAATTTACTATAAAATTTAATATAAAATATAAAATATAAAATTTATTATAAAATTCTCTCCATATAGAGAGAAAACAATAACATACCAACTCCAATGTAACCCAAAGCCGCGCACTGAGCCATGTACACGAATCCTTGATTCGTCCTGGAATTGCGAATCGAGTATTCCGGAGCGGGCTTTCCCCTTTCGAGGCAGAACTTGTAGATCTTTTGCGACGCGTTCTTCAACTCGCCCTGATTAAACGCTATTATCTCTAACATCCTGGCGGAGGGAATATCGAGGGTAGAAGAGGATCACAGAATAGTAAACGAAGTGACTTTTGAACACACATCTTTTTCGAAGTGCGAGCTCGAATTTTCGCGACACGAATAGTTTGTCTTATTATTTTCAACAAAACAAATGTTTTTTTCGTACACAAGCATGTTGCTTCGCAAAACTTCGAATCGTTAAGATTTAATTTCTAAATTTCTTGCAGTGGAATCTCATAATAAATAATAAATATTTTTACTATCACTCGAGAGTCACTCGAAATTGTAAGAGTGAATGTTTTATTCAAGCTTAAAGTCAAGTCTGACTGAACAAGCCTGGATAATGACACTAATCTAAGAACCGTGTAAATAACATATTGAACAAGTTACAAAAAGTTTTATCTCAATGGTAATTATGCATTTTAACGGAGCAACCTCCAATGACTTTCATCTTGACATATGTTATAGAGGTCACCCTCCTGAGTAACCCTAAAAAATCTAGGCGGCGCTCGTTATTTCTTAAAAAATTATTAACAAAAGAAGTTGTTCATTTGATCTGTAGATTTGCACACACACACACACACACACATACACACACACACACACACTACTTGGACGTCCGTGCACTCGCCTGTCCGACAGGGCGGGCTCGCGTTGGGTGCATATGTATACAGGGTGTCTCACACTCTCCTCCAGGCATTTTGTGGGGACTTAGAACAAGTTGAGGTGAACATAAAAGTCCTATACCGTTTTGCGATATTCGCAATAATTATGGAGATATTAATTGTAGAAAATTTGTGAATGATATGCAGGATATGGTAAATGAGTTGTAATAGCAACGACTGCCGTTGTGTACTTATACTTTAGGTCAAATTGAACAAAAAAGTCCTCTACCATTTTGCAAATAATCATATATATTTTTAATTATTAATTAAAGAAGATGAATGCATTATCACGCAAAATCGTGGAATAATCTACTTTAATTAATAATTAAAAATCTATGTGATTATTTGGAAAATGGTAGAGGACTTTTTTGTTCAATTTGATCTAAAGTATAAGTACACGACGGCAGTTGTCGCTACTATAACTCATTTACCATATTCTGCATGATCATTTACAAGTTTTTTACAATTAATATCTCGATAATTATTGCGAATATCGCAAAACGGCATAGGACTTTTATGTTCACCTCAACCTGTTGTACGTTCTCACAAAATGCCCGGAGGAGAGGGTGAGACACCCTGTATACAGGGTTACCCGCGTAAGAAAAAATATCTCGATAATTAATATCTCGAAATTTTACGTGTTTGTTTGAAAAATGGCCTATATAATTTTTGTTTA